GAGTTTTGCTCTGTCGCTCAGGGTAGATTGCAGTGGTGCAGTCTCGACTAACTTCAACCTCTGCATCCTGAGTTAGAGTGATTCTCTCACCTCAGCCTCCCAAGTAACTGAGATTACATTACAGGTGCACACCATCGCACCTGGCTAATTATGATATGTTTAATACAAACAGAATTTCACCATGTTGGTCAGGTCAGGCTTGAACTCCTGACTTCAGGTTTTTTCCCCACCTTGGCCTTCCAACGTGCTGGAATTACAGGTGCAAACCTTCCCGCCTGGCCTGGAAGTTTCATAATGTGTAGGATGTTGTCCTTGATGACATCCTGTTCATCTGTTTAGACTCCTTTCATTTCGATTTATTCTTTGTTGTTGTTGTTTGTTTTCCTCTTCACTAATTTTTTGTTGTTCTTGTTGATAAGGAGTTTTGCTCTTGATACCCAGGCTGCAGTGCAATAGCACAATCTTGGCTCACTGCAACCTCTGCTTTTTGGTTCAAGTGATTCTCCTGCCTCAGCCTCACAAGTAGCAAGTGCCACTATGCCCAGCTAATTTTGTGTATTTAGTAAAGACAGTGTTTCTCCATGTTGGTCAGTCTGGTCTCAAACTCCTGACCTCATGAGATTCACCTGCCTCAGCCTTTCAGAGTGCTAGGATTATGGCCATAAGCCACTGTTCTTGATCTTTATTTATTTATTTATTTTCTACTTTTTTGTGACAGTCACTCTCTCTGTCATCCAGCCTGAAGTGAAGTGGCACGGTCTCAGCTCACTGCAACACCTGCCTTCTATATTCAAGCGCTTCTCCTACCTCAGACTCTACAGTAGCTGGAAATACAGGCGCCTACCACCACACCTGGCTAATCTTTGTATTTTTAGTAGAGACAAGGTTTCACCATACTGGCCAGGCTGCTCTCTGAACACCTAACTTTAAGTTATTTGCTCACCTCGGCCTCCCAAAGTTTTGGGATTACATGTGTGCGCAACCTTGCCTGTCCCCTCTTCACTAATTTTTTTTTTTTTTTTT